CAAGAATATTTTGTAGGGTGCTTTAGTGATTTTTACCTACGTTTGTATGGTCTTCAAACTTCCATTAATATCTTTTCATATTTTTTATAACTCTGGCTTGTAGAATTTAACATAAAGCAGTAGTCCACTGCAGCCAATCCCTCATATACCATCACATGGCTGATATCTACTTCCACAGGCTCTCTAACGAGAGCAACCCTTCAAAGCTTTTTTCTATTCTATGTACTCGTCAACACATGAACTTACCTTAGAGATCGAGTGTAAGATCATATGCATAGACTTCACTTAAAATGAAAGAGTAAAAAGCCCATATTGAAAAAAACAAATTTAACATATGAAAGTATAGGCATCAAAGGTTAGAATATAAACAGGAAAATCAATTATTTTAGGCAAAAAAAACTTAAAATCTAATAAGTGATGATATTTTTTGTTAGGTATGTTAAAAAGCAAATTTATTGTTCATGGTCCAATCAGTGAAGTGGGTTTTTCAATTACATATCCAACCTAATTTATTGTCCTAAAAGAAAGAGAAAGCCTAACCCAAATGATCAAAACCCGGTAATCCCAAACAATAGTTAAATATATGTACAGGGTCAGATAACTATGAATACAGTTGGGCAAATGTTCAAAATATCACAATGTATCAATGAACCCCTCTCAACGTAACTATCAGTACATACTGAACTGAACAAACAAAAAGAAAAAATAAGTAAAAAACATTTCCCTTTGGAAACTCCCATTTTTCATATCATGAGTGTCTATACAATGAATCATGCATTTGGCTTTCTAAAACAGAAAAATAAAATAAAATAAAATAAAAAATTTGAATAAATCTATCACTCTTTTAACTGAGTCATGCATTTGGCTAGAATGACTCCCAATGGTGTAGGCCTTGCCACTGACCGTCCATCGTGGAAGATTATTGGCTTTGGATAATCCTTTCTTGGCAAGGATGGGGCCTTCTCCTCCATCGGAACAAAGTATACTTCCTGCAAGTGACAATGGCTCAAATGTAGGGGAGAGAGCGAGATTGAGGATGGAGCGGTGGAGGTGCAAAGGTACTGAACCCTAGCCATCGAAAGCTTCCACACTTGATGCTTCAAAGTTCAAACAAAAATGAACATTGAACGGACCATTCGAACTAGTGGCTTTGTCCACTTTCGGTACATTCTATGAAAGGACTATTCATGTTCGGACCGGTCCGCGCCCATATCATTTTTAGGACCATCCAGTTCGTCCATATCACTTCCGATTCGGACGGTGTCCAACCCGAAACCGGTACATTGACACCCCTACATGGAACCAAACATATAGTTAATTATTCATTGGTTAGGCTTGCATTTTGTAATAGATAGTCTATAGTAATTGCCCATTGTTTGGCATCGATGGCTAGGGAGTTGTTTATTTTGATTGAGTAGATGGCTTAGAGAAGATCTCAGACTAAACTTGTAAATTATAGTTTGAGAAATCCCCAAACCAAATTAAACTATTTTGGTATGAAAACCAAACTAGACCAAACTATTTTATTATGGTTTGTGCAGTTTCTAATATGGTTTAGGGACTTTGGAGCATTCTATGATTCTAGGCTTAACCCAATTAGAAAGCCCAAATAACACCCCTAAAACTTAAAACTTAAAACATAAAACTTTTATTTTATTATTTTATTATAAAATAGAAGAGTTGATTATTTGTACATTTGGTTTAGATATGTTATATTATATCTAATATACATTGTATATTTATATATACATATTATATATGCTTTCGGTTTACGATTTATGGTTTGGTTCAGTTTATTAAATCCCAAAAATAAACCAAAATCGTAAATCACAATTTAGCAAAATATCAAACTAAACCATATCATTTTTAGGTGGAAACCGTACGGTTTGGTTTTGCGGTTCAAACCATACAATGAACACCCCACAAATGGGTACGAAAAGACTTAAAGATGAGGTTTTGACTGCTAATAATTTTTTGGGTAATTTGAGTTCAGTCCCCCCTCAGAGTTCATAATGTCATTGTATAGTTTGGGTTGGTGTCAAGGGGGGAAAAATTTTAAATTCACAGGATGATGGTATTTGTGGGAGTGTGGGGGTGGGGATAAATACATTTGGAGAATTAAGAAAACAAGTCTGAAGGGGGAGTGGACAATAAAAGAGATGGAGTGAAAACAATTGCTAACACTTCTATGTTTTTTAAGGTGGTTTTATTTTGTTACCAAAAAGGGTAAATTTCTAAAACCTCCCTTGAAGTTTGATAATTGCAATCACCTCTCCTGAATTTTTTGATATGGTTTCAATAGACACCCTGTGGTAAAATATTCTAAATAGAGGCATGAAAATGTCTAAAATACCCATGTAGTTATTTTTGATAAAAATATTTATTTTCCGATTTTTCTCTTCATATCAATCACTTATCCAAATCCTTCCAATCTCTTTATTGAAATTGATTTATTTATTTTTTTCAAAATTTCCCTTCATATCAATCACCCAAAGGTAAAGCTACAACTTTAAATTCTCCCTTTTTTTGTTCATAAAGTGTGCTATTTTTTCCATATATAAATCAGCCTCAGTTGTAATTGCACGAGTATTTTGAACATTTTCCATGGCTCTTGTTGGAGGATTTTAATAGAGGGGGTCTACTTGCAACTATATTAGAAAGTTCAGGTAAGTTGCTTGCAATTATCAAACATTAGGGGGGAGGTTTCAGCAACAGTTTGAAACTTCAAAGGCTTAGCAATTTACCCAAAAAATGTGGGAATACAGAACATGCCCCAAGAATGTCCCACAACACATCCCAACCATGTATTAGGAACATTAGGGCTGTTCACAAGTTGGGTTGGGTCGGTTTACTTAATGGGCTTTGGAACTTCATGTTTGAACTAGGAACTAAGTCGGTTCGGTTTGGGTTGGTTTTGGTTTTCTTGTGTGAAAACCGAAGCCGACCCAAATCATCGGTTTAGGAATTTGCACAACCCAAAACCGATCCGTGCTGATGAGAACTTGGCTGACTCGGGTTGAGTCGATCCGGGTTGGCCGGTTTGGGCCTTCTTATGAACAGCCCTAGGCAACATCTCCTAATGACAAATATGGGAGATGTTCTCAATACATGCTGAGATATGCATGTAGGGCATTTT